CTTGTATAAATAAAAAAATAAATAAATCTTTAAAAAAAAAAAAAAACAAAGTGTTTATGGCAGAGTAACCTATGTTCAGGTTGTACTACAAAAAGATATTTACAGGGGGCCTCCCTGGTGGTGCAAGGGGTTAAGTGTCAGCACTGTGAAGCTATTGGCAGCCACTGCAGCATGAGTTTGATCCCGGGCCAGGGAGCTAATCCACATGGCACAGCCGACCTCTCCTGTCTCGCCTATTGCTCCCTCAGCAGTGTATTTCAGTGGATCCGCCTGCTCTGCTCCCCAATCTGTCTCTAGTGAATCCTCTCACCCCCCACACCTCTGGCCTATACCCTAGCACTTGCATGCATAAATAAATAAACCTTAAAAAAAACTGATTACAATCCTCTGAGATAAAAATGTCTCAATTTATAAAGGTACAGCTTGGATGATTTTCCACATGCAACCTTGAATGAATTCTCCATATTGCAGCCATCACACATGTAGGTTTTAATGGTGACTATCTTTTATCTACCACATCCTATACAGCCATCAGAACAGGGAAATACCAGGAGCACAAAAAAAGCAGAGTTAATCCCCCTCTTCAACTACAACTAAAGTTGAGTTATAATTGTGAAGCTTTCATCAAAACTAAAAACAGGGCCTCCCCGGTGGCGCAGCGGTAGAGCGCTGGGTTGCAAAGCTGCCTCTGCAGCGTCGGTTTGATCCCCAGCTGCTCCCCGGCCACCGGAGGAGGGTCCCGCATGGCGCGCAGACCTCTCCTGCCGCTCGCTGCTCCCCTCAGCAGTGTACTTCGGTCCTTCTGCCTGCTCTGCTCCCTGCTCTGGCTCTGGTGAATTCTCTCACCCTCCCGCGCGTCTGACTGTACCCAGTGCTTGTATGTACAAACAAATAAATTAATTAAAAAAAATGAAACTAAAAACAGCACAATATGGAGGAAATGATATAGCATTCCAGAAGATATGTGGCAAAGGCTGACAAAGTGCTTGTTCCTGCCACTATGTAGGACTAGCACTACTTCTAGAGTTAATTACAATTTGCAGGATACATTAGAAAAATGTTTCCTAGCCCTGAGCTATTTCTGATGCAGAGTGACAAGTTGGGTAAACACCAGTAGCAGGGGGGAAAAGTGTTAAAAACAATTCAGCCTTCTGGTCAAATTTCCCCCTTCGGCATATTTCTGTCCAAAGACTAGCGTGTGACCAGGTATCTGTTAGTTGGCTTTCATTTTTGTGGTAAAAAAAAAAAAAAAAAAAAATGAAGACGGTCCAGGAAACAGGCCTCCCCAGTGGCGCAGCGGTTGAGCACTGGGCAAAGCTGCCCGCAGCCTCTGCAGCACCGGTTCGATCCCCGACCGCTGGGTGAGGGTCCCACACGGCGTGCAGACCTCTCCTGCCGCCCACTGCTTCCCTCAGCAGTATACTTCGTCTGTCTGCCTATTCTGCTCCCTACTCTGGCTCTGGTGAATTCTCTCACCCTCCCACACTTCTGACTGTACCCAGTGCTTGTATAAATAAATAAATAAAAATCTTAAAAAAAAAAAAAAAAAAAAAAGGTCCAGAAAGCAGTTTTGCTACTCATCAACTGTGACTACAGGCAAATAAGCCAGCCCTCCCTTCACAGACACCATTTCCCACATAGCTACTTAGTCCCGCTTTGTCATTTCTTACAACTCTCAAATATTCCTATGATTTCCTTTGTGAATCTTGTGTTTGGTTAACCAGTCGTGGTGTCTAGAAGGAAACAGATGCACTGCATTGATTCACCACTTTTATCAAATGAACCAAGAATATAATTTCTACATTCACAGAAAGTATGTATACAATCACTCAGCAACTGGGCAGCTTTCATCTCCCAAAGAGATTTCTTATTAGTAATGACTCCGAATGAAACATGCCAGATGATCTATATAATTAATATGACTGCCTAGAAATGCCTGCCTTCCAGTGCAGTCATTGTGAAAGCAATGTACATTGTGAAGCAGTGCCATCCCACCTTCACTGAAGACTGAGGGGCATGACTTGAAGCGTTCTGATCTGGACCTGCTTTGTCTCCCGTGTAGTGTGCTGCTGCTCCAAGGTCAATGGTTTTGGAAGGATTTGCTGTGCGCTTGTGTCTGGTTGTAGTGGTTTCTGTGGCTTGTGTGATATGGATATGCTTTGTTGTCACAGTCTCCTCTTCATCTTTGAATTCACCTTTGGGAGATCTGCCTCTTCTCGCTTTCTTTTCCTCATCGCTGTCACTAAAAGATATTAAAAATGAAGCAAAATAATACCAGGAGTAGGGATTATTTTCAAAATGGTGCTCTCAGTGATTTGAGCTTAAGCATTTCAGATGTGGAAACTTCAAAATTTCATATTTTGACAATCTGAGAGGGATCAATAGAATGTTATCTAAACTATCTGAATAATGATTTGTGTGTGCGTTGAGGAGAAAGAAAGGGGGATCCTGCTGAATTCCCTTGATAAGTAGAAAATATTGCTACAGAAAAGTTTTGACAAAAATGCGTGCTAATAAAAAAGTCTGAAATAATTCAAGTGCTTATTTGTTATGGATCTAAACTTTTATTAAAAAATAACAGGATTATCAACTGATGAGACCTGGAGAGAGCAAATATCTGCATTTGATAACCATTTTCTTGAAATAGGTTGAATGCAAAAGACTATAGTTTCACTTATATAATAATTCTGTCACTGACTCTCATATACTAATGCACATACCTAATATTACAATTTCACTGAATACCTTTTAAATGTTATCCTGTTTGAATCCAAATGATTAAATTCTCATCTGTAAATGCTAATGCACTTTACAATTATGTGCTATTTTAACAGGTATCAGGAGATCAAACACAACACTGAAAATTGCTCTACAGAAAACTTAAATATATTTAAAATGTTTTGAAATAATTCCTTTCAGGCACATTGAGTTTTTTTTCCTCTTCCTTTTTCAACAGCACAAAAGAAAAAAGTACATAGTGAGTGAAAAACTGGGTTTTTCATATGTCACAAATTAAAAATGTAAGCACTCATCTACTCTCCAATAAGAAGGCACTGGGCTTTTTTCTGCATGTGGGACAGACAGAAAATACCTGAAATATGTTCCATTATCCATATTACTTAATTTTAGAGTAGGTGGTTTAATTTGTAAATATCCTGAAATAAAACACTTACAATTATCTTTAAAACTATGGCTATTACTTATTCAATTTAACTACAGACTAATCTAAAGCAATTTTTACTTTACATATAAACCAATTAGGAACCTCTATAAGAATCAAGAATGGCCTCCCACACAGAACAAAAGGGTTAAATGTATTTTTACCTCCAAGCATTTTGGGGACTGCAAGTTCTGATTAAATATTCAAATGTCCTTGTCACTAATTCTTCAGCAACAGATGACCTAAAGATTCCTACCTTCAGTCCTATAAGTAAAATGATAACTTCTTACCTTGTGGTTCCAATCTGATGTCAGTGCAAGATAATTTCTTTACAAGTTGAGAATATAAACCTGACTAGCACAGCATGAAACAGAAGTTTTAGATCAATGATCAGAAATGTCTTGAACCTAATAAATGAACTAAGAAGTCTAAAGTTCTAGTTAACATGCCAAGGATATCACACTAAACTCTGTCTATAAATCTATTCTTCTCTCATAAATACTCCAAGATGTTCCTGGTATGACTTTTAATTATAAAACAATATACAATATATTTTCAACATTTTTAATACTCTATATAAAAGATTTAGGGATTTTAGCATATCTTGTCTTAGAGACAATACAGAATAAGAAAAATAAGAGAGAAACAGAAAAAAAGAAAAAAATGAAGGCAAATCAAGGAAATAAAGTAACGACCAATGATACAGATAGGTGATCTCCAACCAGCCTACTTGTCTGATTCTTACTTCTTCATGGAAGATCAGAGTATATATGGCCTCTATGTTTTCTCAACAAAATCAAAAACATAAACACACAGGCCACAAAACATTAATGAGGGAAAAATTGTACAGATTATTTGACATAGGTACCATTTCCCAAAATCTGGTATTAATTATTGTATGCATACTCTTGCAGTATAAAAGAGGTAGAAGTATAGTTGTAAAATAGATAAATTCAAAGATATACTAAAAATAAATTTGGCTATTCAAGATCACATTCCAGAAATAATTTTGAAAATGACAGAAATTCCAGGGATTTAATATGGAAACAAACTAAAAAGAACTTGAGTAGTTTCAAGCTTTTATTTTAATTTATTTCTAATGATCCCTATAAACTTAAGTTTTTTTTTTAGGAAGTAAAGAGAAGCTGTAAGAACTCACTTGATGACTAGATTGCATCACTAACTGTTACTTCAGGCAAGCTGCATACAGCCTGATTGGACCTCAGGTTTTATTTCTAAAAAATAAGGGTTAACAGCCCTACTCTAGCCTATCTAACAGAGATCTTGTTGCGCACAAATGACAGTCTCATACAACTTGATTTGCAAATTATGTGCATACAGACTGAGGAACGGCCCTTTGAACTGGAGGAAAAACCACTTTAGAACAAAAGTGAATACTGAAAAGTTCCTAATACTTTTCTATATGAAACTAAATACAAATGCCTACCATCAGAAAATGTAGTTTTTGAAAACATATACTGAAAAACATTTTAGTCAAAAATTTCACTTGGTTTTACTATTTTGTATACTCTAGCTAGCACAGAACCACAACGAAATGGCATAGTGAGTTAAACCTCAAATCCTTCAATTTTATTGTTTAAACTTAATATATATTAACTCCGTCGTCCTACAGCAATACCTCAGAGATCCTTGGATCATCTGAAATTCAAATGCAAAATATGCTGTGAAAATTCTTACTGAGAAAAAAAAAATTTCTAATCGTCAGTCTGAATAAAAACATATAGGAAATGTGATCAACTTCAGATGTATGCATAGGTAACAGGGAAAGTGTGTTAATACGAATTACAAAAGATGTTTGACCTAGCATCTTAAAAACAATATGCTTGAATCAGTAGCAAATATACTCAAATGGAACAACATGGAGAAAGTTAGCATTCTCTGTGCCAGGATGACATGCAAATTCAAGAATTGTTCCAGATTTTTGCACAGAGCATTTTCAGGGCAGTGAAATTACTCTGCACAATTCTGCAATGGTGGCTAGTGTGCATTTATCAACTGCTCTACATAGTGAATCCAAATGCAAAAACTAGACTCTAGATATTAACAGTATATTAACATTGGTTATCAACTGTTAGTAAAGTATACCACAGTAATGCATGATATTAGGAACAGGGTAAACCCTGTATGTGTGTGGAGGGTGTTATATGGTGACCCTGTACTTTATGTACAATTTTCCTGTGAACTTAAAATTACTCTAAAATAATAAAATGTATTTTTATAAAAAGAGCTGAAATTCAAAAAATGCTAATGCCCAAAACCAAAATAACCAGCTGCATAAATTTAGTACCCTTTCTAAGAGACCCGGAGACAAAGTGTTAATACCTGCATCTTTCTGGAGAGTCTTCTCTGTCTTTCCTCCGGAACTTGCTGATGGTGTCATCAATTGTGCTTCCAATTTTATCACTCAGTTCACCTAATTTATCACTGAATGGAAAAGCACTCTTGTTTTTATCCCACTCCTCATCCCATTTTGATTTGGGTTCAGGATCATATCTTTCACCTACATAAAGCATTAAAAAGAGAAACAACTCTAAGGGCATTAAATTCAAAAGGTGTCTCCAGTCCTTATTTCTTAAGCTTTCCCTCATAATAAAATAGTTTTCAAAGGAAAACAGAAAGCTCCCACAGTGCTGAATCAACACAATTACAGCAAGGCACAGCATGTAGTGCCAGTCATTAAGTGGCAGGAATGCAGATTCAAAAGCTTTTGTTTATGATAACTTACACAACCTTCATGCACAGCACAGCATATCATAAGTTCTTAAAATAAAGCTGTTGAAATGAGGAGAGGAAACACAAAAACCAACAGGCTGTCTAAGCAAAAGAGAGATGAAATCTTTTTGTTTTTATAAGTCATTTAATGCATTGTATTTCATTCCTGTTTCTTAATGTTTTTTCAATTATTAGAAAAGTAGTGGATAGCAACACTCTCTTAAAAAACACAACTATAAAAAACACCACTCTGAATGCTGTAAGCCCTAATATTCTGTAGACTTCTATCTGTCTAGTATCAAACTTGAACAAAAACTCAATGGCTATCACGGCACGAGAAAGAATCATTTAATTAAGGTTACAAGGAAAGTATATTCTAACTATTAAAATCCCCACACACAAGCATCATGAAACATGCACAAACACTGTGGAGCAGCGATGACGTATTCAAACACATGGGACTGATGAGACCTAGGGAAGCCTCTGTGTGAACTTGAGAATGAAGAGAATAGTTCATGGGAGTAAATAAAACCCCTAAAATACCAAAGTTTTAGTCCCTGATCTTGGGAATTTAAAGGCAAGGCAGAAATTACAGGCACTAACTGGAACCTTCCATGCCCAAACTCCAGAATGGAAGGCACAGAGAAGTCACGTGAGATTAAAAAAAGAAAACATGGAAAATTAAGGCAAGTTGGAGAGAAGGGGAAAAGGCATTAATAAATAACAAAATAATCAAGAAGTGGTTAACTGAGCATTAGTTTTGAGCGTTGGTTAATAAGTTCTTTCTGATGGCACCTGTGCCTTTAGAGATCAAAAAACATTTTGTTGAACTGCCTGGTAAAACTGCCAACCCAAAATTTCTAGATTTTAAAATGTTTATTGAACCTACAATCGACCAACAATTGAAATGTAACACATCAAAATGAAGTTTACGAGACATAATTTAAACCAGAATGTCTTTATGAAAGAGTGGTTCCCAACAATGAATATACACAGTTCAATGATGTGATTAACCAGACAGTGAAAAGAAACAAACTCACAGGAAAAATGAAAACTAAACCAATCAGGGGGGTGGACATCATATAAAATGAGCACTGAAGACGTTATCTGATGTCCAAGTGAAAAACATACAAAACAGCTAAAGTTGATTAAATATCTGAATAATATACACAGCATTAAAAGTAATTTATAAAAGAATGTGATGCAAATACACAGGATGTTCAACTCTACTGCTAATACAGATGTTGCAATTCATTGTGACTGAATCTGAAAACATTTAATTTTCCAAATTTATCTGATATAATTACACATCGTGCTAGCAAAAAGACGGTTACAAGCAAGTAGAGAGAGGAAATCAGATACGAAGGGCAATTCCTACTCAAAAACACACTAAATTATTATAGCTATTTTGAAAAAAGGCGAAGAATAAAAGAACCACTTGGACAAAAAATTCAAAAACTTCTTACCCCCTTAAACAAATGGAAACTCCAAAAGATAGTTATCATTATTTAAGAGATTAAAGATTAATGCTATTAAAGATGGCATTATTTAAGAGAAATAGTTTTGTCCAATTCAAGAATTGACTTTTATGTGATGCTTAGACATAATAAGAGTTCTGCTGTTAGAGATATCCTTTAACAGTTAACTAAGTGAATTATTTTTTCTTTGAAGGCAAGAAAGCAGAGAGCAAAAGTGAAGGTATTACTTTATTGGTAATCACAAAATAAGAAATAGGAGATTTTTACAGTTTCAACGAAGAGTTATGATTTTGCAGTATAATCCAAATATATCTGGGTAAGGAGGCTGGAAAGCAAGCTTGCTTCACAGCTGCCAGATGCACAGTACTAGCCTGTCAGTGCATTCACAAAATGGTCAAGAGATTGTCAGACTCAGAGAAGACAGAATGAGCCAAAGGGACATGCTGGGAAAGAGCTCTCTTATTTCTGTATGTTTCTAAAATCTAGTAATCGATTTTCGAAAAATATTATTCCATTAAAAATAAACATGAAATGATTATTCCGTGTGTTCTTCAGAATATTAGGAACAATAAAACAACAGGCCTAGAGGAAAAACTGATGGCGTTGTCAGTCCTGTTTTTCTGTGTCAAGTTAACGCTCCACTTAATTAAAGGGAGACTAAGGTTGGAAGTAACTTATAAGAGGTTTATTTTCGGCCAAAATTAGAGCTAAGTTGGTTTTGAATTAGAAAGATGGATCTCTCGCTGAAAGTTTTTATTTTCTTGATTTAAAGGATGAGCTAAAGAAATGCCTTTTTGGGTTTTTTAAGAATGGTAACCTTAAGAAAATAGGGTATGCATGCTTCACTCTCTGTTTATCAACTCAAAGTTTGCAGTCATTTAATCATTAATGATTAAAATGATATTCTTGAAAACACGAAAGTAAAAAACAGACAAGGAGATTCCCAAAATCAATGTAGTAAGAGCCAAAATGAGTATCATACGTATTTTAGTACTCCATGGATTTCTGAAAACAATAGCATTTGGGTCTTCAGTATGCAATATTCTTAAAATACACCTAGATTCAGAGGTGCTGCCTGGCTTTGATACTCACTGTATCTGAATCCTCCGACACTGTCTGAGGAAACCCCAACATACTTGTCTTTGTTCTTCTTTGCTTTCTTTCGTTCTTCACGAAGTCTGTCGTCATCCTGGGCAAACTCAACCAATTCTTTCACCTTTTGGCGAATATTTATACCTTGATCCTTACCATGCTCATCTATCAGGATGACAAGGGATAAATAAAACCTTACAAATTCAGTCAATATGCAACAACCTTAACACAAAAAACAGAAATTTCAAATTAACAGAAAGAGGCTTTTGTCCCTTTTTTCCCACCAGCAAATTTTAGGTCTTGAGGTGCAACCTTGGCTTCTTAAGAGCATGTAAAGATGAATCAAAAAGGCCAGTGATAATGGTGCTATGCAAGATTAAAGATCCACTAAAAAAGAATTACTAATTTCCATATGAAGTGAAGTTATACTCATAAATGTTATTTTCTTTTCCCATAGTATTTTAACAAAACAAAAACCACTGCAACATTTTAATGACTGAAAAGCCCCCAAACTCCTTGGTTTCCCCAATGCAAGTTTGGAAACACTAATTACCAGGATTTAGTGTAGCTGAAAACTGAATTTTAAGGTGCTTTCAACTGGGGCATGCTACAAAATGGAACGTGGCTCACTCTGTAGTTTCTTTCACATTCAGAACACACTCTGGCCTTGCTGTCTTTGCACAGTAAATATTATTTGGTAGGAGGAAAAAAAAACCCCAGCTTCAAACAGATGTGTGTGTTTTGGAGCTCTAACCTTTTCTTCCCATATGATTAAAGCTATTCCTTTATGGACACCACAGGGGACCAGTCTCCAGTGCATATTTTAATATAAACCCGAACACTCATGTTGTGTTGGTTCTGTTGTTATTAGCCAGTCTTTTCTGCAAGTTCTTGTCTTCACTAATTAATACTCTAGGGCCCCACGTCTTGGATTCTGCACTCGTCACACAACCAGCAACAGTCACATTCTAATTAGAGCGGAGAAGCTTCTAAGCTGGTTCAGGTGACTGACAACTCCAACTACTGTTTTAATTTGCTTATAAGGTTTTTCTATTGCTCACCTACAAAGTGGTAATTTTCCAGGGATCGCAAATCATAAATGTGTTCTCTGGCACTTGTAACAACACGCTCTGATCCATTCCTTATGAGGTAAGCTAGGAGCAGCAATGACTGCAAGAATACAAAGAACCAAATGATTTAATGAAATACATTCTGGTAGAGCTCTGGTAAATAGTTTAAAAAAAATATCCAACGTTAGCAAATAAATAATCTTCATGTGTGGGGTGGCTGGGGAGAATTTCCTTTACCTTATATAAGATATTAAATGTACAGTCTAAAATTATCAATTTTAGGTTGCTCTCATACAAGCATAATAAATAATAACAAACTGCCCACTAATAGCATATGCAAAAGATTTTGATGAACTGTTAGAAATGTTAGTTCAAAGAGAATGATTATGCTTAGTGATTATATGATCTGGTGGCATTTCCCACCCCACAGATAAAATTTAATTTTGGGTGTTAAATGATATGGCTTTTATTTCAAAAACGTGCTGCCAATAAGTCAAGAGAAAAGAATCTTTACATTTATGGGGTTTCTTTTTGGGGTGGTGAAAAGCTCCTGGAATTAGATAGTGGTGAC